CCAGAGTTGGGAAACCAGGCGAAGAAACGGTTAATTGTCAGAACTTTTCAAGCAAAAAGTCAGAATTGAATTGATGACTTATCATCACCTGTGAAGAAAAAACAAGAGAAACAAAACAAGCAGAAAATATGGATACCTGGGAACTTTATTACCTTTTGAATAACAGTTCGTATACTGCTTCTTGGAATCCTGTGGTGTGTGCTAAAGATGAACTCCCACATCGCAAAACTCAGGACCACCAAGCTTATGTCATCAACACAGACGACAGTCATCTTCCAGGAACTCACTGGGTAGCCGTGTACTTTCCTCAAGTCAATTGTGTGGAGTACTTTGATTCGTATGGATTACCACCTTTGGAAGACGATATCATTGACTTTATGAGAAGAAATGCCCAGACGACACGATTCAATAATGTGAAGTTACAAAGCAACGATTCCATGGTGTGTGGACAATATTGTGTGTATTTTCTTCATCATTGCAGTCTGGGACATTCTTTAGAACATTTAGTCACTTTTTTTGATCGTGACTCTTCTAGAAATGATGAAAAAGTAGATCGATGGTTTTGTGACCGTTATGGTTATCTTTTGTCTTTAGCTGGAAAACGTAGTGTACATCAATGGCCTCATGATATGAATCAATGGAAATCTCACATGATTTCACAACGTTGTCAACCTTGTCAAAAATAATTTGTATTTCAAATTGAAATGTTGTTTGTTCCTTGTTGCTTGTTAATTCTATTCATTTTTAGTTGAATAAAAAATGTTGTATTTTGAAGAAAAAAACGTGTCTGTCGTTTGTTTAGTTATAAAAAAGAACCACAGTTTGAATATATGCTCTTTGACTTTCTCTCTATCCCTCCTCATGACATGAGCTATCCTCACGTTTCAATAACTAAAACTCAGTAGGGATGTTTTCTATCCCGTCCGCGCTTGTACCATATAAAGCGAACGGGTCTCCAGTCTGACCATTCACTGTTGACTTGTCATCCTACGAAGATGCCTTCCAGACTAGCTAAACTCAACGAAGCTTACGTTTAATTACATCGTGTCAGGCTAAACCTGATACCGAAGCCTGAAGAGATAGAGAATGTCAGAATGCTCTCTATAGCCCAAGATCTCATAGAGAATGTCTTTAGAGAGGAAATTGAGAAAGAAAAAGAAGAATGGACTGAGAAATACAGAATTCAGAAGAGGCAAAGAGAAGAGCAGCAACAGGAGCAGCAACAACAACAATATCAACAACAAGAACCAGACAAAGGATTTGTGGACTGTCGAATAGATACCAAAGACTTCTCTTTCTCTTTTCGCAGAAGCAGACCTTATCGTGTAGGAAAACCTGCTGCCAGATGGGGTTGCAATCTTAGACAGTAAAATTCAACAAAGATTGCCTTTACTCTTCGTCAAAAAAAACCAAAAAAAACAATCAGCCCTTTTCAGGGCTATTCAAGACTCTCGAAAAGATATACTTCTTTCATTTGCCTAAATTTTTTTAAACTTTTAGAAGTGTGACTATAAACACTTCAATTTTTTGGGGGGATCAGTAAAACAAACAAAAGCCACCCTTTTCTCCCTGTCTTGTCCAACAACATACAAAAAAATCTGACTGTGTTGGTAAGTCAAAAAAGTTAACGTGAGAACTTCTTTTAAGTCCGCGCGTTTCATATCATAATAAAAAGTTAGGGGATGTTTTCCATCACGCCCGTTCTCCAAGGATATAAACGCGAACACGCGTCAGTCTAGCTCCCATTGTGGACCTGTTCACATTAAAGATGAGCGAAAGAATTTCAAAACTTATTGAACTCCAAAGACACCTGGAGTGTGCCAGACGTCTCCTGGACGAACTGACTATGGAGGCTTACAAAGAAGAAGCCAGACAGAAAGAAGTGGAGGATACAAAGAAGAAAGAAGAGGAGATAGAGAATCAGCGAGGGATCTTGCTGCATCCATGGTAAAACTCGTGTGTGAGGTGCTACCTGAGGTGAGGACACCTCCAGCAGCAGCAGCAGCAGTAGCAGCAGCAGTTACACCGCAGAGACCAGTTATTCATCTCCGACTCTGGTCACGAAGACAAGAGGTTCAGCAGGTCTTCACTATTCCACAAATAGAGGTGTGGGATAGTGAAGCCACTCAAGCTTCGTTTGCTCTGCAGGTCAGAGCAATAAATTGGGAGAATGACTGGAGCCGACGATGTGTGTGCGGTGCTCGTTCTGGAAGATGTCGGCATTAGCCAGGTGTCATTGAAGTTCAATTAAACGGCCCTTTTCAGGGCTAACCAAATCTCTAGAAAAGAAATACTATTCAATTTGCCATTTTGACAACTTGTGTGAATATAGTGAAGTGTAACTATAAACACTCATTTCTTTAAAGATGTGTGTGTGTATGTGTGTGTGTGTTTACATTCACGTTCGTTGATGAGATGGTGTAGGGTATGATTTGTGTTGCTCGTTTCGTTGATGAGATCTTTCATTGATGAGATGGTATATTTTGGGTTTTATGCTTCTCTTTCGTTGATGAGATGGTATTGGGTGTGTTTTTTGTGCTTCTCTTTCGTTGCTGAGATAGTATAGGGTGTGCTTTTGTGCTTCTCTTTCGTTGATGAGATGGTATAGAGTGTGTTTTTGTGCTTCTCTTCTGTTGATGAGCTGGTATATTTTGGGTTTTATGCTTCTCTTTCGTTGATGAGATGGTATAGGGTGTGTTTTTTGTGCTTCTCTTTCGTTGATGAGATAGTATAGGTGTGTTTTTGTGCTTCTCTTTCGTTGATAAGATGGTATATCATATGTGAAGTGAGTTTAAGGAATGTTTTCATTCACGTCCGTGCTTTACGTATATAAAACCCTAGTGTTCACCATTCGTGCCATTCTACACAGAATACAAAATGACTGGAAGTCTAGAGCTATTTACTCAGTTAAGAGATACTTTGTATTGGATCGTGGATGGAGTGCACGAACTGGACAAACTTAACCAAGAATGGAAGTTAACAAGTACTGAGGACTTGATAAACAAACTAAGAGTAACCAGTTTCAAGTTACAATTGATAACCATAGAAGAAGCAGACAAAATACGAGGAATCGTCAATTCCAAATACTTCAAAGTGGGAACCTTGAAACAGATTCTGGATGATGTTATCCAAGTGAGATGCTATATGGAAGACATCTTCCATTTAACAGAATGGGATTTTGTGAAAAAAGGTGCAGATCACATGAAGAAATGCGAAGACAATATCAAACAAATACTGGAAGAAGAGGTCAAGAAAATTAAGGAAACCTGGGCAAAAGAAAGAAAAGAGAAAGAAAACCAAAAGAAGAAAAAAAACTTTGAAAAACTGAATGAAAATTGGATGAAGATACAAAAAAAGTTTAGAGATATGGGACATCCAGACTGGATGCCATACGAAGAAGAAGTAAAAAAGAAAAAGAGAGGAATTTTAGAGAAATTTAGACAATGGTGGAAGAAATGCAGACAATAAAAAGAAGAAGACGAAAACAAAGGCCCTTTTCAGGGCCACTTTCCATGCCTCGAAAAGATTATACTTTTCCATAACAAATTGCCTGTATAAGTTATAAAACATACATATCACTACATTCACTAACACGACGAACACTTGATGTCACAGTACTTGACGAATGCTTGACGTCACAGTACTTACACATTGCTACACTGTTGACAAGTGTCCAGTACCGTGACGTCATGCCACCTGGGACCATTTCTCTTGACGCTATACAGTCCCAGGGTGTGCTAATACAAAATTCCCCTTGACGCTATATTACCCCACGCAGTTTCATTTTTCGCCAAAAATCTTGACGCTATATCGTCCCACGCTGGTTATTAATGATAACTCCCATTGACGCTATATCGTCCCCTATTACTACTTACAGAAATTACTCTTGTACTGGTTCCCAGCGTGGATGTTTGGCAGTGGTTGTAACTGTTCATACAGGAGATAAACCATTCAAATGTGAAGTTTGTGACAAAAATGTTTATGCACCTTAGTTATGTGAAGGTCCACATGACAATACATACTGGAGATAAGCCATTCAAATGTGAAGTATGTGTTTCATCCAGAAAGCTCATTTGGAGGTGCATATGAAATTACATACTGGAGAAGTTTGTGATAAAATGTTTAGTAAAAGTGGTAATTTTAAGAGACACATGATGATTCATACCGGTGATAAACCATTCAGGTGTGATGTTTATAATAAAATGTTTGAACACAATAGTCATTTAAAGAGACACATGAGGATAAATATTGGAGATAAACCGTTTAAATGTGAAGCTTGTCATAAAACATGCACTGAAGGTGTTATTTTGGAGAAGCATATGATAATACATTCTAAGGAGAAGCCTTTCAGATGTGAAGTTTGTGATAATACGTTTAGCCAGAAAAATAATTTTAAGAAGCATATAATGTTACATATTGGAGAAAAGCCATTCAAATGTGAAATTTGTGATATATTGTTTGCAGACAGTAGTCATTTGAAGTGCCACATGAGGATACATTCTGTAGATAAACCATTCAAATGTGTTGTTTGTGATAAAATGTTCATTGTTCTACTTTAATGAGACATATGAGATTACATTCTGGAGTTAAGCCATTCAAATGTAATGTTTGTGATAAAATGTTTAGACATAGTTTAACTTTAATGAGACATGTGAGGATACATACTGGAGATAAGCCGTTTAAATGCATAGTTTGTAATACAATGTTTAGGCAGAGTTGTGCATTAAAAATCCACATGAGGATACATACTGGAGAAAAACCATTTGAATGCGAAGCTTGTGACAAAATGTTTGGTTCTAATAGTTATTTGAAGGTCCACAAAAGAATACATACTGGAGATAAACCATTCAAGTGTGATGTTTGTGATAAGATATTTAGATATCGTAGTAATTTAAATGTCCACATGAGGATTCTTACTGGCGATAAACCATACAAATGTAATCTTTGTTAGAATGTTTACCTGCAGAGTGGATAGAAGAATACATACGGGACAAATTTCTGCGGTGGCCTGGTGGTTAGAGTGTCCGCCTCGAATGCGTAAGGTCGTGAGTTTAATCCTCGGTAGAGTCATACCAAAAACTTACAAAAATGGTACTTAGAGCTGCTTCCCTTGATAACTTATGCAAGACATCACTATAAACTGCCATGCAGCGCCTTCAATAACACAAGCACCTTCATTAAAGCATGCCAGTTACCTTTGATCAAAGAAGTCAGCAACAAACTAAAAGCATTGCTTCAGTTTTCATCGTGATTAGAATATATTTATTTTTCACAAAACTTCCTTCTTGCAACAAATTTCTTTCATTTCTACTATGGCTACCTTTACTCTCTGCTTCCTCTTGCTCCAGTTTCAAAGTCATCGATGAACAAGTAGATCAGACTAGTTGGTTTTGTATCTTCACCATTTCTTTAACATCTTTAATATTCTAACGGTTCAGGAAAAACCAAATTTGTCAAATGTTTGATCAATCTTAAACATTATTTGATTGGTTGTCCATCTCGCCAAATCGTGTGGTGTTACAAAGTGTGGCAATCTGCCTGCAGCCTTCTGCGAGAAAGTCAAGGTGATTCCATTTTCTTTGTGGAAGGCATTCCTAGTGAAGACAACAGTATTGTGTCTTACCCAAGTCAAACTCATTTTGACCCAAACATTGTTCCTCCAAGGTTTGGAGTCAAGAGGTCGCACACTATTCACATGATTTCTAATCCTAAAAAAATCAAACATTTTTTGAGAAAAGTTGCTTTTAAACCTGTGTTAGTGACAGAGCCAGAAGAAGTACCTCAACCTTCAGGATAGGACCGTCACTGACATCCCCAAAAGGCTCTTTTGGGAGGACCCCTCTGTCATTGTACCAAGGGATGTAGAGACTTAAAGAACATTACAGTGTCCTAAGGACACCAAATATTTGTCACCAAAACTTTTCTACTGAGACTTGTTCATATTCCACTATGATCACTTTGATGTGTATTTGATTTATACACTTTACCAATTGGTTTTATGTACATTTGTCTTTTGCATGTTAAAGATTGCAATAAATGTGTCTTAAAAGAAAGTATCAAATTTTTTGTCTTGTCTGTCTTCATGTCAAAACTGACATTCCCAACACTAATATGGCTACCTCTTTTGCTTGCTTTTCCTCCACTGTCAAAGTCAACGAATAAAGCCAAATGGTAAAGCCATGTATCTTTGTCAACCTTTTTATATGCTTATTGCCGGACCTAGGGGTTCTGCCAAACCAAATTTGTCAAACGTGTCATCTAACATAGACATAAACAACAACGAAACTTGAGGTGTTACAAAGGGTGTCAATCAGCGTACAGCCTTGTGAGAGAAAGCTAGGGCGATTCCATCATGTGTTTGGAAGGCATCCCTGGCAAAGACGACCGGATCTTGTCTGACCCAAGTCAAACACATCTGGTCATCTCTGATGACATGTTAGGAGAAGACGAAGAAGAAATTAACCAAGCTATAATCCAGAAAAAAGGAGCAAAGGCTGTTCGCCAAGTGATCGACGTTTGCGCATTTTTGGTGTATTTCCCGGAACTAACAAACCAACCAACAAACAAGATCTCGCAACAGAAGATATCTATTCTATCCCCATAGGAAAGAAAAGGAACAGACCGCCTCTTCGTTTAGTCAAACTTTTGGAAATGTTCATCTTGTCCAAAGCTTTTCCACCTATGTAACACTAACTCATACAAACTGCCTACAAAGACATCAATACCGTGAGCGAATGTTGTCCGAATGTTTTGAGAGGAATGATGCATTTGTCTAAACATCAGAAAAATGATTAGCCAAACAACGACACGTTCCTCGCCAACTGGTCCAAGACAATACTCATTCGTCAAAAGAGATGTTGTTACAATTCAGAGGAATTTTCCCAATATTAGGACTTCTTACCAAATTAATAGTGAGACCTGCCTTGGGCATGTTGGGAAGTAGTTTACCCACCATATCTCCAAGATAAAAGGGTTTATGAATATTACATGGACCTCTTGAAATAAAAAGGATTTCAGACTTTACCATTTAATTTGGATTGAAGGACGAAAATTGGTTTATGTGCTTTACTAACGAATGATGGAATATCATCATTGGCAATAACAAAGTAACCCGCATCCTCATTTGACCGAGATGTACCTGTTATACAATAGCTTCAATGGTGGATGGATCTCCAGAAACGGAAACACCGCATCGCTATGGTCAATTGTTGCAAAGACTGAAATTCTTTCACCAGAAATCTTTAGATGAAACAGATCTATCCACTCTGAAAGACGTAATGGATGTAATACAAAGTTCATCACCTTTTCAACCACTATCAATCAAGACATACGCAGCCCCTCGGATGTTTGAGGACAAAGAGGCATGAGAAGTCTTTAAAACACAGTCAGCAGCTTCCATTATTAGTAATATTGCAGCGTCCTTGTTGACCCCCTTCCCTACACCCAACGAGAAGAACTTAATGGTTTTAAAGATTGGGCTAAAAAGATGATGTCCACTCCTCCTTCGACAGAAGTCAAAACGAAAGATGGGAAGCCAAAAGTGAGAAACGAAAGGAGACCATTGCCACCACATTACCACCGCTACCAAAACTACCTTCGACTTTTACTCTCTTGGCACAGCGGTTGTTAGGCCACCCTCCACCGTTTCATTAAGAATATTATCAACGAAGAGTGGACAACTTATTAGAAATGGACGTGTTAACCAGCATTTATTATGATCCATCCCATCATTCATTTTATGTAAGAAATCAGAAATTGTATTGTGCTGCCAAAACTCGACTGAAGCACGTAGCCCAAGAGTACAACCAATCTTGCCATCAGAACATTTGACGTGCCCAGTAAGAAGTTACTACCGACAACAAAGTGACCGTCTTCGAGCGCCTGTTTGATACGTCCCCGACGGTGACTGATCCCAACAAAGGTGGGATGTCTTTAGGAGATTGTGTACGCATTGGCAAAACTAAACGCACTTTCTACCTTAGACAGATTACTTACCCAAATGAACCATCGAATTGTTTTGTCACCGAACGTGTGCGTGACCGTCATCTTCCTGTCTATAAATTGGAATACATGAACGAAGAAGTGTTTAAAGAAACGTCTACCTTGCCCAAGTTACAAATGTTTGATCAAAAAATGATGAAGTGTACGAAATAAAAAGCATTCAAGATCAAAGAATTCGCAAAGTGGGAAAGCGACGCGTGAAAGTAGTCAAAGTACATTGAAAAGAATATCCTACCAGTTTTGACTCTTGGATCGACTATTAAAAGAAGTGAGCATCATACCCTTCATACCCTTGAACAGTTTCAACCACTACAACTACTGCAGTGACCACTTCGTCACCCAGTTCTAGCAAGATCTGTGAAAGCAACCTTTCTGAGTGTGTTATGGAGAAACGTATGACTAAAACGCAGGTCTTTTTTAATTCCAAATCTTTGTCTTTGCCAATTTGAGTTTGCATCAAGTAGGCAAACACTTGTGGACACAATATTACTCAGCAATTGCATCAATTACCTTATTATTTTAGTAGTCAACATTTGGTGAACTCCATTGATAACAGGCCAATGCTGTTTTTGTAAAAGCTTTGGAGGAAGGCAGGAAAAATGTCTCAATCGAGAACCACAAAATATTGCCTCGCCTAATGATGACAGTTCCAGAGGACAAAGTATTGGCCGTTACATTTTCTCCTGAGTTCTATATCATTTAGTGTGGAGACCTCTAATTGATGAAGATTTAAAATTGAATAGCTGCCGTTGCCAGCAAATTGGATTTTGCTAAACATTTTCGATTCCCTGAAGAAATGAACCAAGGACTGGATTTGATTTTGTCTACTTTTATGTGTTTGAACAGAACGTGGTGGGGCACACCGTCGTACCGCTGCAGCGTGTCATTCCATTTAAAGTGGATTCTGGCACAAACAATGACTAGGAAGGTGGAAACTCCTATTACTTTCATAGAGATTGTATACATCTTCACTATTTGGCCTTCAGTATTTTGACACTGTCAATATTATTATAAAAGGAGATGTGTGACATATTATTCTTTTCACCAAAGGCAAAACCTTAGTGAAACTCCATTTTTGGAAATGAATACTCTAACAATTTGTCAGTCATATATCCTGTGTACCAAAGATTCGCCCGACAGCCAGGACGTGGTCTAGGAGATATGTTCGTTCGGTGGCCCAAGTTTTGAAACCAATGGTGACACGGTGAATGGTCGCCTTGAAGGACGCCGCTTAGACACAAGGCAAAGAATTTCTCCAAAATGTCATCATCGACATAGAAAATCCGAAAGAAGCTTTCTTGAGGTCCGGCAAAAATGTCCTGCTTCACACAGGCAAATACATTTTACGTCGACGCAAAACTGTTATAAATGCCCTGGACACATCGAATAAAGAATTAATGCTTCTCTGACGCCATAAGAGCAAGACAGAAAAATACGAGGAAAGCACCCCTTCAATGGACTTCACACTCTCATAGCTAGAAAGATTAAGAAAAGTAAACCGTCTGACACTTTCACATATTTGATTATTAAACCATCGCTGATAGTCTTACGTATGTTCCAAGTTGGAACTGGATCTGTTTGCATGCTACCAACCATGATTACGATACAATAATTCCAATGTGTAGAATTTCATTCCTTCACCTCTTGGACGGATTCAACTCCAATCGAGTTTGAAATCAAAGGACATACCGAAACTTTAATTGATCGGAATAGCAGTTACTTGTATCTGAAACTCAAAGTAATGAATAAACAAAACCAATCCGAAAACATGCCAGAGTATCTCCCATCAGCAATTTCATAAATACCATGTTCAACGAAGTGTATTTTTACTTGAATAACAGAACTTATCAGTAGTAGCCCTTACCTGGAAAATGTTGACAAATACACTTTTCTGCTACGGTGGTATGTAGACCAGATACCGCAGGTGAAGACTCATTTAACGACACATCTCTGAAAGCAGATGATAATCCTCATAATGTGGGTATAATAACCGTCGAAAGAAAATCCTGCAAAAACTTAGTTTTGGACTGATGGGTCGTTTGCATTTGGACGTATGGCTGCAAGACAAG